TGTTTTACGTAAATTTGCCATCACAATGTCAGAAAGGACTTGACAGATTTTTATTTTGTGCACAGGTGGCAAGGTTTGCTCTCTCAGGTGACAACAGTCTCTACATCCTGCTGCCAAATGCCAACACACTGTCTGCCCTGCAGCAGGTAGAGGAGAGGATGACAGACGTGAATATACGTCTGATGATAAACCAGCTACAAACAGTCTCTCCTCAGACCACAGAGGTCTCACTGCCCCAAATCAAGCTGGATGTGGAGACAAACATGAACAACCTCATCAAGAAATTAGGTTTGCTTATCTTCAAATTTCCTTTCATTGGTCTGCCATCTCATTTTTATTTTAGCCATAGTTAGACTATTAGAAGAAAATGTTACTTCTTCTGCTCGTTGATCTGTCTGTAAGTGATCCTACTTTTACTCCCTCTGCCTCTAACCAGGCTTGTCATCCCTTTTTGAGGGAGCAAGGCTGTGTGGCCTTTCCTCAAACAGTGATCTCGTTCTGGACGAGGCCAAACACAAAGCCTTCATGGCCCTGACCGAACGAGGAGTTGAGGCTAGTGCCGCTAGCAGCTTAGCGTTCTCTCGCTCCTTCCCTACCTTCAATGCCCTCCGGCCTTTCATCATGCTGGTGTGGAGCGACCGTGCTGACGTGCCACTCTTCATCGGTCGAGTGATGGAGGTATAGGAAGAAGAAGAGGAGTGAGGAAAACTGACAGAAAACAAATGATAAATGGAATATGCTTGTCAAAGAGTTAAAAGTCAATCAATGACATTAGCGTCAGTTTTGTCATGTTTCCCTGAAACATGATTCAGTTCAACGTGCATTTATGTTTTATGCTGTGCACTCAAGACAAATAAATGGAAATTACAGATAAAATAATCACTGCCGGACTTATGTTTTCTCCTTTTATAGTTATGACTAGGTTATAAAATATATCATACAAGATTTTGATTTTGCTGGAAAACTATTTCTACTATAGTTGATTTCAACAGCCTTATGAGACCCAAGCAATATTTAATATAGACCCGTTGTTTCAAATAATAACTAACTTTTTCATCAACAAATATTTTAGACAAAAACTTTTAAGTGAGATTAGATTAATTTAGATACATTTTGGTCTTGTGAAAAAGGGAAAAGGAACTCTAGAGGTTTTATAGAAGTTTTCCTGCTCTGCTGCCGCAACTGTATTTGTTTTTGCCCTTTTCGGTAAGAAAGTTATAAACATTGAGATTATTTTGAATGGGCCATATTAAATTTTTAGCAAAAAGAAGCCCCACTGTAGATCTGAGCTAAAAGCTGCCCCAATATCTGTTAAAATACTGTGGGTAGAACTTTTTCCGTGCAGCATGTCCGCGCAATAGGTGCACAAGAATTTTGCTAGTGACATAAGCAACAATAGACGGGACTTTTTTGCGGGTTTGAGAGATGAACTTCTCAAATAGTTTGAGTTTATCTTGCCACCTTTAGAACAGGAAAAAAGATTATTCTTTTGTTGAGTATACATAGTGGCCTTGATGGAGCAACTAAATATAGGAAAAATCTTTTTACACACCTGGCAATGGTATGGACATGGGGAAGAAAAGGCATTATATTTAACCTTTTAACTTGTGCAATGCTGTTTAAAATGGCAGGAAGTGCATGGATCAATCTAAAAACAAGTAGCATTGATATCTGACAAGATTGTATAGCAAAATGAAGACCTTTTACAAAATGACTGAAGCAACAACAGCTTAGATAAATATGGAAAAAAGATCTGAGAAAATCCAAAAGTAGCTCATGTTGAGCGCATTGTAAAGGTAAGAGTTCTAACATTATACCCCTAGCTAATGGGGCCTTTCAAAAGGCCTGAGAATCTATATTTCTCTTCTTTTGGAGAATTTTTCATTTTTAATGTAAAGAAAATGTACCTGAAATTAGATTGTTTAAAATAATAAAAACATGTATAATTTTAAATTAGATTGTAGAAGCTTTACATCTTCCACTATCTGTGCTTATACACTTCTGTGGCACACTGGCTTCTACTTCCATCTATGATGGTTTTACCCATAATTAAAGAGGCTTATGATGCCTGTTTTGGTTTTCAGTCCTCTAGGAGGAACTAATCTGGGTTTATATCAAATGAAGGTATGAAAAAATTTATCTAGAGCAGAAATGACACTGACAAAACAGTTGCAAATGTTAAACTGATCCTTTAAAGAGTTAAAAAAAAAGCTAAGGCTCATGTGACACTTGAAGACAGAAGCCCACCACAACAGTTTCATTTTATTTTGCAGTAGTTACACAAACCCAACACAGGATGGCAGCCATACTGTGGGATTGACAATGACATTAAACACACAGAGACTCCACATCTCATCCTCATCAGCCCTCCTGCATAATAACCACCGATTTCAACTCAAGGAAGACAAGTGTTAAAGTCTGAGACAGTAAAGGATTTTTTTTTTAAAGCAAACTCTCGCTTTGTTGAGCACAGCAACCGAGCAAAAATTACCCTGAATAAGCTTTTTTCACAAACAGAAAACACTGCATGGATTGCACAGACTGTAAACACATCAGTATTCAAAAAGATCAGCCAGAGTTGCACTCTATTATGCAAGCTGATGGTAATTGCTAAACATGCAGCTGTATTGCAGATACATGATTACATAAGCAAAGCGGGGGGTCAATAGACAGGAGCCTGAAAATTCTGCAACTGTAAACAACCAAGCAAGAGATCTCTCAAAATAAGCAACCATCCGGCTAGAAACATGAACTCCATTTGATCTCTATTACCCAGTCTCGAAGTAAACAAAGTGTGGAGTATTCCCAGAAATAACATAATCTGTCTGTTTGGGTTGATTATCTTACTGCTGCCGTGCTGGGACGGTTAAACGTGCATAGAGAAAAATACACAACAAACCCGCCAGATTTGCCTAATCCATTTCCAAAAGTTATTAAAGATGTAATTGAATATTTGGTTAAGCCTCCTTGATCTTCATAATACCCAAGCCCTTGTTGAGGTTGAACACGATTTAATAGTAAAGGGACCCCAAGGTTGTTGAAGGACAGGACAGGATATGAGCAGCTGGATTGATTATCAGTTGGAAATATCCCCAAGGCAACTGACTGACAGGGCTTTTTAAAATGTTTATGCATTATCGAAGATTTCATGACAGAAGCAACGGTTCACATTTGATATCTTCATAGTTTCAGACAATGAAAAAACACATTTTATGTGGAGATTTGTTTTTAGCAAGCCACATACCATAAGTGTATGGAGGTATGTGGGAAACGCTTCATAACATTTAAGATTTAAGGTTTCACTCATATTATTATGGATATTAAACAAATATAGAGATGGCATCCAAATTAAACAGTGTTGTGTATATTTCTTTAATTAGCAGTTGGCAATAATATAGAAATTATTGAAATCAAAAGACGATCCTGAGCATGGCGAAAGCAGAGTAATAATATATCAACAATTAGGTTTTTAAATAATTGATATATTTAAGATAATTTAAACCTGAATCAAAATAGAAGGAGGAAAAAGCATTGCAATGTAGAAAAGAGAGAGAAAAAGGAAGCTATCAACATTGCTATGCTATCAAAAGTGCAGAGGGAATGAAAAGTCAGCCTGAATGTGTTTTTATAAAACCTACTGGATGTTTGCTAAACACCTACATACCACTAAAACCATCTATTACCAAATCTATATTAAGTAAACAAGATGTAAAAACACGGCAAAAAAATCCTGGCAAAATATAGGGGTTAGTGTCATAGGCTTAAAATTTCAAATGAAATCCTATTTGGTACCACGATTTCACTGTTTTAAAGTATTCATGCAAAAATGTGACAATAAGTTGCATTGTTTGAAACATTTTTTTTTTAAAATTTCACCCAACCAGATAATTGTTTCTGGAGAAAAGTGTTATTTCTGTATTAGTAGCCCCCTTTTTGCTTTATCCTGTATGTGTATATATATATATATATATATATATATATATATATATATATATATATATATATATATATATATATATGTGTGTATATAAGTATATATATGGTATATGTATATATGTGTGTATATAAGTCTGCACTTCAGCCAACTGTGCTGATAATCTTAGTAGGCTGTGAGGTGTCTGACAGACAAGGATTTTCTGTCTCTCTTACCCAGAGGATCAATGCATCTATGATTCAGGCAAATGTCTATAAAAGAATGGCATGCAAAAGGGAGTTAAAAGATTTTTTTCAGGCTCCAGGCTGCTTTTTTTTTTAAACCGAAATCAAACAGCCAGACCAAATCTGATCACTTTTTATGAATAAAACACTTTGCCGTGCTAAAAAATTTTTGCACCAGCACTGTATTTTATTAGAGCAGAACCAGAATCACTGACATGCTGTATCTTTTCTTTACACCGTCTAAAATTTGTTTCAGTGGTTCTGTAACAACTTAAAATATGCAAGCAAAGCATCCAAAAGCAAAATAGAAGGTCTGCTTCTTATAAAAAAAAATAAGAGCATTATCATATTGTGGGGTTTTCTCAGGCTAGAAGACTGTCTGGTTCACACAACAGCTTTTTGTAATTATTCTGCACCCAAGGGGTTTTCACAACACCAAGGCCTTAGGTGGTTACAGAGGATTTCTCCATTGAATGAACCATTGTTGCCTTACGTCAATATTTCTTCACACCTCGGTGCTCCTGAAGTCGAATGGAAACATTCTGAATGGGGGCATGAGGAGAATACAGACAGACTCATATTGGACATACAGAAAATGTAGGCACTCGTATCAAAACTCCCACACACACATACATAAACATTCACACACACACATAAAATGCAGACACATTACTGCCTGACACATAGGTGCTAAAACACCACTGCCATAGACAAATAACGAAAAAGACGCAACACTGAAGGTAAAGGTACAAATCCACCGAATGGATCATTTTGTGCTTTACATCATAATAATATGGTGTCTTGTTTTGCATCAGATCGACAGCAACTACTTCAAATAAGAGATTTTTTTTTTAGCAGCATCCTGTAACTCCTGGAACTATGTACCATATAAGAAGTCACAAAAATGTACAAATATTTGGGCACTTTAACGGGATGAGCCTCCGATCTGTTGGTTAGATGTCAATTTCGATGAAGATGTTTCAGCTTCTACGATACGGTGAGATCTGAGCACATTTTCTAGTGTAATGTTTTGGTACGGCAACACTTCAACAAAGACATCGTCACAATTTTGTTTACCTAGAAAAATAAACAGATTCAGATCATACCTTGTCACCATCACTGAGATTAGTATGAATATATACTAATTCGTTGTGCCTCAATTAGTGGCAACACATGACAATTTAGATTTGTATCCTTGTTATTATTGCATCTTTTCTTCTTTGTTTAGGTTAATCGCTGCTGCTTTTGTTGGACTCTGTCAACCATCGCTTGGGTAAGACAAACGCATCTGTGCTTGTGTGGTGTGCCTTTGTCTGTGGGAATGTCTTGGGGAGTCTAGTCCGGCTTGTCGCTGCTTGGGGCTCCCTGCTGCGTGAGCGTGTGCCAGTATTCCACTTTCTTTCCTTTGTTTTTCAGACACTCGAACCAGTGTCTGAGTCTCTGTCCCGTCGCATTGATGCCCAGCTCCACTCCGCCTGCACACACACGGGGACACAGGGTTATGATGGATGTGCAGAACTAACAGAGACTGCCCGTTTTAGTATGAACAAGTTTAAATGGCTAATTTGCATATATTTCATTTTTATTTATTTATTTATTTATTCTTTCCTTTTTTTTACTTATTTTTATTTATTTATTAATAAATTTATTTATTTATTTTCTTTTTAACAAGTATTGTTTTGCCCAACCTTAATAATGGCATGTATAACGTCCAGACTTTTTATTTTTTTTTAATAAATATATCAGTGTCGGTTCTAGGCTTGGGGGCCAGTGTTTTATAATTGTGGCAGAGGCACTGTGACAACAGAAGTACTGCCCTGGATAAGTCCACTATCAAATAAAGGAGTTAGAAGGACCGAACAGTATCAGACCTCAGGTTTTGTCTTTATAGTTTTTTTTTTAAACAGATACCATTTAGATGGACCTAAATTCTATCACATACAAAAGGGCTGGACTGTCAGAGCTACTGAAAGCAGGTGTAGATTTGGGCTATCGAGCAGGTGAACAGGAAAAATGACACTATAAATATGGTACTTCTGTTCCCAGTCAATATCAGATTCTTACACTTTGATTCCACCAAACCGCATACAGGTGGCAGCCAACAAGCAATTGCACCTATGCATGCGTTTTATTTGCTGGGAAAGCAGATATTTCTTTGCTTCGTTTACTGAGGAAGCAATTCAAACTTGTCAACCTCTTTTCACTATTTATCATTTTGGTGCTTTGAAACCTAAGGAGCCCAGAAGCTCGGTTAAATAGTCCAGTGAGTAGTGGCAGCGTTTACATCGTGTATGTGCCTCATGAAATTGCACCTTGAAAAGGTTGACAGGTTTTCTGAAATATATGCCCTTCTTTACAGTAAATGTATGAAAAACAGAGGGGTATTGGAGCATGAGTGCTCATGATGATCCAAGCTCATTACCACAGCAAAGAGTAATTGGTAACTTCCTAATGTAATCCCCTCATTCCTGGTTTATATGTTTTTTTGTCACTGGTTTATATTTTATTTCACAGAACAAGGCATTTTGAAGCTCCTTATGACCTAAACAGTGTTTCTACTATGTAAGCTGCAGTACAAATTTTATATTTTCCTGTATATTAGTAACTATTTGTCACCACTGAAATCTTAATGAATTATAATGATTAAAAATGTTACCATCATCTATGTCAAACACATTCTGTCAGTGCTACATACAGTAAAGTGGATGTTACAAGAACAAGCTCAGTCACAGAGGAGCTGCTGCTGTGTGCCAGTGAAGACTGATGGTTGGAAATTATTCTGCATACTTAACAACTTTCTTTACACATAGCTAATTTGTCTTTTAGGAACACAAACTGAACATGGTCTCTTGTTGTATTCGGAAATTGCTGTCATTGTACAATATGTCTTTGCTTCAGATAGTGCCAATACAGCAAATATTGTAATATTTACAGTCTCTTCAATGAAACAGGGGCTCCCTGATAGTATTACAGGAATTTATAAATAAAAAAACAAAATGAAATTTACTCAAGCTGAATTTTAGTTTGGGATCTTTGACTTTATAGGGTTATCTGTGTAAGCAGTTTTTTTATGTAAGCAGAAATATCAATTTTTAATTGAGAATTAGACCATCATGAAGTGTGTGGCAGTAAAGCTGAATGTGCTGACAATAAAATCACACAAATCCTCAATGGAAATCACATGTATTAAATGGTGTAGGCCTGATTTGGGAGTCATACACAAAATTAAAGGGAAACTACAGCCTGATCAAATTTTTATGTAATATCCTTAAACAGGTTAAAATGAGTATTGTGTGTGACCTCCCTGCAATGGCTGGTCATGCTCCTGATGAGGTGTAGGATAGTCTCCTGAGGGATCTCCTCCACACCTGCACTAAAGCATCCGCCAACTCCTGGACAGTCACCATTACTGACCCACTGCTAAACCTGAAGGATGTTGCAGGCAGCAGACCACTCTCCACTGTGTCTCTAGACTCTGTCATGTTTGACACATGTGCTCAATTTGAACCTGCTTTCGTCCATGAAGGGCACAGGGTGCCAGTGGCGAATTTGCTAATCACAGAGCAAAACCCCCAGATGTGGAAGTCGGGCCCTCATACAATCCTTTCCAACTGTTTGGTAAGGCACACACACATTTGTTGTATGCTGGATGTAATTTTGCAGGGCTCTGGCAGTGCTCCTCCTGTTCCTCCTTGCACAAAGGCAGATGTAGCCTGGGTTATTGTCCTGACCCCTCCTCCACGTCTACTACTGGTACTGTACTGTCTCCTGGTAGCACCTCCAACCCCAGGACACTACGATGTTGGACACAGCTTCTTGGCACAGACCAAAGAACATATAGACCAAAGAACATATTAAAAGATTGAGCTATCCAATTTCACGCCTGTAATCAATATAGAGCTATAAGCTATATAATATATTTTATTATTGTTCTTTTTGACAGATCCTTCAAAAAATGTCATGAATCATTTCTTTTTTCATTAATCATTACATTTTTGTTATTTAGATTGCGATTAGTGAACTGCTATTGCTGTTGCCCTTTTAAACACTTTAAAGGTGTTTAAAGGTTAGACTCTATGTCTGTCTTCTCAAATATCGCCACATTATGCTCCAGAAACATGGCCAGACTTGAAAGCTGAAATGGAGGGGACAAAACAGCACTTCAAAATCCAACGGATGAAGCTATCGAGGCTCCATGCATGATTAATACAGTATACATGTACTGTTTGTCAGCATTCATGGTAATGAACTGAAAGTGAGACACTCTTATTGAAGCTGAAATAGATGTAAGCTAAGACTCAAGACGAAAAAAAAAACAGGCTCAGAGAAACTGAAGCGCAGCTGGAGAATTAGATGAAAGATAACTCTAGATAAAACACCATCCTGATGAGTATAGAGCAGGGAGATGCAGGCAGTTGTTACACCGAGGTTATTACAAAGCTCTGCCTGCACAGCCATGGGAAGAGCTGCAGGTTAAAAAAAAAAGGCTTTTGGGAATTTCGACTTTCAACGGAGCTTTGGAAAATGACAGCCATGAGAAAACAAGGTTTGATTGATGATCTGTGACAGATCTTATTGCTGCCAAGATACTCCTGCAGGAACCATAGAAGCAGCCTCTAAGCGTCATATAGTTCACAGTCCAGAACCAGTTTCCATTGAATAACAACACTTGCTGCCCCCACATCGATTAGGTGTTTTCCCACCCTGCAAGGTGCTACAGACAGATAAATGGTTAGCCATACTGACACTGCTTGCAGGAAAAAGAAGAGATATGTATCCAAGGAAGAGGAAACGATCCAGATACAGATAACAGTAATGCACAGTAATTAAAAGCATCTTAAAACCTCATGTCCTCACATATTTTACTTAAAATAATTTTTTCCTTCACATATTTTCCGCCTAGGATTCAAACAAGGATTCAAACAAGGATTCAAACAATCTAAAGGATAGAGCTGAAGGCTTTGGTCTTTCTGTGTTTGATGCAAGATGTTTCATATCATTCATGGAGAGCAGCAGAATAGTGATAATAAAGAAACTCAACCAGCTATTAAATAGGACACTACATGCTCTACATACACTTCTCTGGTGGATTTTGTGAATAAGGTTTTATTATTTATTTTTTAATCGAAGAACATTATTAAACAACCTTAAACATCCTCTTCATCAGACAGACCGCTGTAGAACTTCAGCGTGTTCAGTCAGAGGCTTCTCCTTAGCAGCTGTAAGACAGGCTGCCATTTGAGATCCTTCCTGCCTAGTTATCAATATCTACAACTTGATGTGCTTATAGTATTTGTTACAACAATATTTAACTTTCCCTAAGTATTATTTAAGTAATTCTGAACTGAACTGACTATAAAAGATGAATAACTTTCTTGCTGCAATTTGAATTATGTAAGGATACATAGGCCCTTAATGTTTGACTTGATTAAAACTTGCAGAAAAGAAACACTTCCTTCAAACTCATTAATCACTCATATAAGGGGCTTCCCTGCTGCACAACAAATCCAGAGAGAGAACTAAATGAATAGCCTAACAAAACAGAGACCCTTTAATTCTATTTAAAAGCAAGAGTTTCCAGTTGGGCTTCAAGTTTTTCCTCCAAGTTTTACTCTCAAACCTATTCAAGGGTTAGTTATAAAACAGACCAAGTAAACACACACATCCACTGCATACCTCACTCCCTGTGCATGGGTGGGTTCTCTCCGGGTACTAACCCTAACCCTAACCCTTCCTCATACAGCCCAAAAACATGACTCTCATGCTACGTTCAGACCGCACAATGCTGAAGCAGCAGAAGCAGCTGCTTTATAAACAAAGGCAATGTTTGACGCACATTAAGGCACATGAAAAGGTCTTGCAGCGTGTTTTGAGCAGCAGGAGTGGCGTCTGATGCTCTTCACAAGCAGCACCTGCTGGAGTTGGTAAAATTTAACTGTTTATGCTCAACGCCGCATCAACCAATTAGAGAAGCTGATCTGGGAGCTGGCAGGGAGCAAGACACAATACTGCCTATGCAGAGTGCTATTATTACTCCCCTGAAACAGTTTATTAATGCCTAAATTCACTTAAAATATCGAAATCTGCCGGCACAATATTTCAGCTTTTATTATTCTGGCGCCTATAGTTTGGATTACGTACGTGAAAGCTGCTAACATCTCCTTCCAGCCACCACAAACACTAGTGGAAAACCAGTAAGAGGCGACTGGGCCAGAGGCTGCTTTTGAAGGAGATTTCCAGGGACAATGCACCGCCGATGTATGCGGGTTTAGTGCTGGTCCGACAGCGAAATAATATTTAGAGGCAGTATCGTAATCTTGGTAAACTGACTGCAAAGACTTTCAGGTAGACTTTCTCACCTAAAAATATATTAAAACTACTTTTTACCCACTGATCACAGCAAATATAGCAAAGCCCCTTTCCGCCATTTAACGCAGGAGCAGCAAAAGCATCAGATACATCTGGACACCCTTTAGTGGATGTCTGAACTTAATGTGGACAAGCATCAAAAATGAAACAGATGGTGAGTTTTTGCTGCTTCCAGGGATTGCGGTCAGAACGTAGCATTAGGCTGATTGACTTATCTAAATTCTCCTTTGGTGTGTGTGTGCGTGAATCACACACACACCATATATATATATATATATATATATATATATATATATATATATATATATATATATATAAATTGCTGTTACTTCAACTGCTGTGTTGAAGTATCTTTTGGATCAATCTCTGCTTTCACTTATATTCGCCCCTTTTTTCTGGTGAGCCTACATATTTTCTGTCAGAATTGTAGGAAAGAAAGATTTACTGTAGATAAAATCTCAACATTTACAGCTTTTTATCCACCTTGCATGATAACGCATTTATTTTTTCTTTGTGTCAAATATACTATTTGAAATTATGACCCAGAAGGTTATGTTTACTTTTAACAGATCATAAAACGTCACTCCTCAAGGCAGTCCTCCTCTCCTCTGGAGGACTTTATGCAAGACATAATGTTTTCTTTAAAAGAAAATGGTCTCATATCTTAGCCTAAATCTTCCACAGGAGATTATTTTGGCATGCAGAAAAACCAACCAGATATAACTTTAATTACTTTGAGGTTTCACATCGGAAGCAATGGGTGCTGTGGTCTGCTTTCAAACTGCCACTGTGTTCATTTGCAGCTCATTGGCACAGGTGGTTGTTGCAGTAATTGAACACAGCTGATGTCTTTTTCCTATCTGGAAGCGCCATGAATGAAATTTTTATTTATTACGGAGAAAGTTATAGTTTCAAAAATGTTGCTCTTGTTCTTTGCATTCTTTTAAAATCAGATGCTAATTAAATTATGTGATGTTGTATTTTTTACCTATGCTAAACCTTTCTATAATGAGATCATTTTGATCCCTTTTCACCTGTTATGATGCTTAAACCTCAACTCTTATTTAGTTCTGTTTTGTCCTGTGCATAGGCACACTGCGTTTCCCATTGCTCTCAGGCTAACTGCCCCTGCTACAGTGGGAGTAGTGCTGCTCTCTTTAACAACCTTGAATCTATACTTTATTTTGTCTTGGTGCTTTTCTTCACTTAGCCCTAATTAACGGAACAAGCAAGCTGCTGTCATGAAAGCAGTTATGGGAAGTGATGTATGCTGCATTGATGGCCTTTACCCCTCGCAGAGTTGTAACTCAGTGGCCTTTTCCAAACACACATTTGACACCAACCCACACCCGTACCGTAAACAATTCCCACTGATATAAGAGACAAATGAGTTAAAGTAAAATGGGTTGATATGAAGGCCTTTCAGTTATAATGTAATGGTGATTTATTGTCAATACATTTTCCAGCACTAATAGCTCCAACGCTGACTTATTGCTACAGGCCAACATTTTTAGCAGCCTGATTAAGCTGTAAGCTTCTGATTGGCTAGATTTATGGCAAATAAGGATCCAGAGACATTCATCCAGCTTTTTGATTTCTCATCTTCATTTCCTTTTCCTCTTAGATTTTCTCACTCCCCATTCAATTGCTCCCTCAAGCCTCATAATTATCCCTCATATCTCCTCAATTTTTAATCCCTCTTTATACCTACTCTTGGCCTGGTTTTAAAGGTTTTAAAGTTTTTTTTACAGATGCTCTGCTTTCATCTAAACATAGTCATAGTCTTTGCTGCCGCTGCAGATTTTCCCTTTGAATGGTCTTAATGCTTACCTATGAAGTCATTGCTCATTCCCAAGTCATAGTCCCACACAGAGATCTCCAGGGTTTTCTTTGCCAGCTGGTCCAAGGTTACTTCATATGAAAATTCCTGTGCAGGTGGCATGCATGAAAGAGGATTCAAATCAGTGACTAGGAAACATAAAATAAAAGAAGCTTATTTTAGCAAATTTTTGTTAAAAACTTGTAAGACTGATGCTAAGAGAAAAGAGGTTTTATAAGCAATGCTCTTGCTGTATGCTGCAGATTGCCCAGAGCTCAGCGGGGAAATCAAGAGTAGACAGGTGTGCATTTTACATCAAGAGGGAAACATTACCTCATTAAATTCAGGATTGAGAGTCTTTTTCTTCACCGAGGTCTTGTACTTTGACTTTTTCCCCATATCTGGCTGTAAGATGCTAAAACAAAGACAGAACAAAGAAAAATATTAAATTCAGTTCCGTCTTACATTAATTTATTTAAAAAAAAAAAGGCTCTACATTAATTTCAAATTAATAAAAGAGAAATCAATTTAACATATTTTATGTTGGAAATGTAAAAAAAAAACAAAAAACTGCATCACATTGTGTTCTCCTGCCTCGTTCTTATATTACTAGTAATTCAGCCTATGCCGCTTGTTATAGAGCAGATTACCAAACATGGTATAACATTAACAAAATTGCATCTGATTTCAAATTCTACATTAATTTATTAAGAGATTTATAGTTGTTTACTGAAAATAGAAAGCCTTACAGGAAAACAATGCTAACATAACATTATGCAACACTGAAAAGCTAAATTACTCAAATAAAAAAGTATTTTAGGACCTTTAACTGTAATGGATTGTTGCAGCTCATCAGTATTGGAAGTAAATGATGGTGCTCAGGTTGCTAGAATGCACTTAATGACAATATTGTCTGGTGTGCATAAAAATCAATTTGCATATAAATAAGAGAAATAAAATACATATATGCAGAGAAATTTTAATTCATTCGGATCTAGGTTGAGTTATTTGAGTGTTCCCTTATTTTGTTTTTAACAGTATACTTAATTCAACAATGTTCCACGCTGAAATGAGACACATGGAAAGTTGACGACTTCATCACATTGTACTCAAGTTTATGTGCGACTCTAAGTGGCCCCTAAGGTACAGACTGCATGAATATAACACTACATTGCAAGTAGTAGAAAGTAGCTGAAGTAGAAAATGACGTTTTCTCTCTATATCTTCAATACCACAAGAGTAACAGTTATTTCTCACCAAGAGCTTTTCGCAATCTTTTGATCATTGAGAAAGGCTAAATGACCATAGAGAGAGGGGAAGAGAGAGAGAGAGAGAGAGGAAAGGAAATTAAAG